GAACCCTTTCAGCTTTAAAGTAGTTCGTAAAAGCTGAAGTAGCTCATAGTGTCCCTCCTGACATGGATTAGGTGGTCACCCTAGGGTAAGACGATAATGATAATCATCGCGATATAATTGTGGGTATGCCATGTGCTCAATGAAAGTTTGAGATATTTTATGACACAACATGCTTCTGGCAACATGATTTGCATCACAAAATGGGGTTACTTTCTCTGTGACTACTTGTCAGGAGCAGCAAAAGAAAATTCCACAGTAAAATTCAATTCACAAAAAAATCCCGACCGTAATAATCCAGAGAGATTTAAGAACCGATAGGAAGAATGCCAGCTGCAGCGATAACTAAAATAAGCTGCTCATCTTCTATCTTGGACTTGTGAAATGCGAAACATTGTTTGACTCACATGGCACTTTTGGCTTGTTTTCAGCATGCATTCAGTCCGTTTTTCAACAGAGAGCTCCATCTAGTGGGATCAGAAAATATAGCAAATTGTTCCGGGAGCGTCATTTTGGCCATGTTTGGCATGTTTGTTACGTTCTGTCAATAAAGAAACCATGTGGTTTCTTCAATTTTAACTCGAGTAGAAATCAGTCTTTAAACTGGAGAGAAATAATGACTTGAGATTTAGTGCAATAATTAGCGATATCGACCGATATGAATATTTTTTATCGTGATAACATTTTGGCCATATCGGCCCAGCTCTAATGACAATCTTTTAAGTCATCAGTCACAGTCATCTTTTAAGCTGTAGTTGCATTGCAGTCGTGGTGTGGTGATGTTTTTTTTCTTTGCAATCCTGACAATCATGGGAGGTGCTTCCATGTAACTGATGCTTTAACTCTATCCGGACCCTCACCCGTTATGTCCCATCTTACTTCCACCATATTGTAATCGAGAAGGCAGATTTTAATTGTTATCGATGATTTAAAAAAAATCTAGTAACTGTGACAGCTCTACTCAAAATGCAATACTCAGTTCTTAACTTCCCTTTCTCCTCCCTCTGGCTACCTTTCTTCTCTCACAATGGTGGGAAAGAAGTTTGCGCATGCCGTTACTCTAGAGTTCCCTGTGGCACAAAGTAACAGCAGGCATTTAAACTAAAACATCATATGTATTCTCACTACGGTTGCCACCCATAACTTATAATACAGGATGATCCCATATTATAAGGGACAGGTGGAAACCCTAATTCACTCCCAAATATAAGAAAATGTGACACACGTCAGTGTCTAAATCTGCATATAGTAGCATAAAGGCACAATTAAAAAGTCGTCAAAATGTGTGAAACAAGGATGTTACCTACTTGTAGGTAAGGATACTGCTCAGCTCTTTTCAGATGGATGCAGAGACAAAACCAGCACATTTATACCATTACCTGCAATTGGCCACTCCTTGTTCTCCTCATTAACCACTCTCAGAAGATCCATCACAAAGTTCAGTTGGCACCAAAAATACCTGAATATTGTGCTAAAGTCATTTGAGTACATCGCTTTGAATAAAAGCATCTGCTAACTAAATAAATGTAGAGGTAGATACAGGAAACAGTGATCAGTCGTATGACTGATCACTGTTTCCTGTATCTACCTCCTTAGCTTGTTTATTGTATGATTAGGATGCTGAACCAGTTGCTAGTTTAAGTCCTATGTTCAGCAGAGTGATGTCACCACTTGAGTCCTTAAACCCAATTGCTCAAAGGACTGGCTGACTATGCTTTGCACTTGTATGTCACTTTGGGCAAATTCATTGGTCAAATTCATTATGTACCACATGCTATCAATTTAGTGTAGCCTTATTTGTTAAAAAACAAAAAATGTTCCATAATCCAGAATGATAACTACGTTGGTCAGAGCAGATGTCCTTAAGAAACTTCAGAAGTACAAAGACTTTGTCCCGAAATTCTCTTGCTGGGATGGAGCTTAGAGGACACAATTAGCACTAGGAAATATGTCACTTGTACGTGTGGGTGAGGGGATGACAGGTGCCAAGGCTCAGCCAAGTAATGTGATATGTCAGAGTGCACTGGACAAAACAAAAAGAATCACAGATAGAGAGTGATCCATGGATGTTGCCATGGAGACCTGGGGAGGTCTGCTGTATTGCATGGATAAAATTTCTGACAGTCAGGTTCAATGCAAGTGGACAACAGTTTTGGTACAGGAATCAAAGATTCATGCTTTAAAGATTTATATGTGCCAGTTTCACACTCATACATGTTTTTGGACATCAGGAGCAAGCTGGGAAACTCACAAACTGCAAACATGCTGAGGATATGCAAACCACAGACACAGCCAGGGGCATGAATGAAACAGTGAACTTTGTCATCCACAGAAACACAGACATATATAAAGGTGAGAGTGAGTTTTGGAGTCAGCACTGGTTCAGTCAGAGTCCCTGGAGGAGTTGGGGTTAAGCATCTTACTCAGTATTACGTGAATTACAGAAAAATTCAGAAAAATAAGACTTGAGAGCAAAGAGGCATGCATACATTTATTTTTCTCCACAGTGACATTACTGGAAAATAGGAGATATAATCTTTGCAATAAATGGCATTAAGTAAATTGTATGAAAATTCAGAATATTTTTATAATTCAGTATAAGATGCATCTGTTTACATGTAAAAAATACAATTTTCTTAGTTTTGCCAAGACAAAGTACAGTGTATGGGCATGCAAAATTAACCTGACCCTTATTGAATGCACAGCTAACAATGATTTGTGATGAACAGAGCAGTAAGCCAATCTACTGAGAGGCATTTCAGGGCAGACTTTCCACCGTGACAGAGGTGAGGGTGATGTCTTTTATGATGTTGAGGTTGTTGATTGAGCTGAGGTCACGCATCCTGTGCCTGTATTCCAGGAGGTGACTGTTATTCACTGCCACCTTGAATTCATTATTGGTGCAAAGTATCTTCATCTAAAAAAATAAAAAATAATAATAAAAAAAAAAAACCCACAAAATTTACACAGTTAACAGTGATAAGGAAATAATGGACACAAACCAGTGATGGTACACGGCTTAAAACGTACATACATTCTCGGAAATTGTATATTTTCTTGAGTCTTGTAATTAATATTAGTAATATACTTTTATGTAAATTAACTTTACTGATTTATAAATACGTTTACCATCTAAGAAAAATGGTTGGGGAGAAAAGTTTTACATAGTACAAGAAAGTTGAAGGCTGAGGTCATACCAGTGTGTTGTAATTAAAGTAAACAACCTGCCTTACCTACGGTTGTTTGAACCCAGCCTGACTTGCACTCCCCCCCTCACTTACCACAAAAGGCTTTCCGCGAACAAAGGGGAATGAGCCACACTCCCTCTCTTCCTTGCCCCAGTTCCCCCCCTGCAGGCTGTTCCTCACAATGACCTGCCTCCCACCCTCACTGAATCGGGGGTTAATATGCAGGGCGATATCATTGCCTCGGCCGAGGTTGACTGCAAACCTGTAGGAGACAACAGTGCTTTACCATTAGTCATGATAATGCAGCTGAATGCCATGAAATTTGACCTACTTAAGCAAAAAGACTACTTTAAAATTTGTCAGTGTTGTCTCTGCAAATTAAGCACAATAACTATGTTCAACAGGTATTCCCCATTTATCTATAGATGCTATTTTTGTATGAATTTGTATGATTTGTAGTCTATACACCAATGAGCTAAAAAAGTATGACTACCCCCACACGAAGTGAATAATGTTAACTCACTGTGTCAAGGTGTAGGATATATTAGATGGTAAACTAACATTTGTTACTCGCTGAAATGTTGAATGCAGAAGAAATGGGCAGAGATTATGATCTAAGTGACTCTGCCAAGAGCCAAATCATTATGGTTATATGACTGGGTCAGAGCATCTCTGAAACCGCAAGGCTTGTGGGGAGCTCACAGTCAGCTATGGTGAGCACCTACTGAGAGTGGTCCGAGGAGGGAAAAACCACAAACTGCACACAGGGTGTTGGGTGACCAAGACTGCGCAAGATGTAAATAAATGCTGCGTCATCTAGCATGAATCAACAGAAGGCTTCTGTGGCACAAAACTCATTTTGATGATGGTCCCAACACACGGTACACCTAGCCCTGCACAGCCAGAGGCTAGTACGGCTAACCCTAATCTACTGTTGACCACACCTACAATGAGGGTGTGAGCATCAGAACTGAACCTTGGAGTAATAGAATTAGTTTGCCTGGTTCTGTGAATAATGTTTTTTATTACATCATGTGGAAGGCTGGGTCAAGCATTTGTGAAGGGAGCCGGACCAACAACTTAAAGACGCATCCTGATGAATTACTCTCTAATACCTCCCACCACCTTGCCTCGCACCATTTCAATGAGACTCAACACTATTCTCTTCACATGGGGAAGGTCATAATGCTGAGGCTCATCATTGTAGCTTCTGAGGGATCTGTAGATATTGTATACAATACTGTGCAAAAGTCTTAGGCAGTCATACAAAATGATGCTTAAATGATCTTCATGTTGGTGTAAAACTTTGCAATTATGTCTGTCAAAATGTGTCAGCTTAACCATTTCAAAACCCAATGTCTTCATCCCCAGTATTTGCCGCAACTGTCCAACACACACACACACACAGACACACACACACAGACACACACACACACACACACACACACACACACACACACACACACACACACTAAGGAAAATGTTAGCAAGTTATGAACATAGGGGAAGTCTGGGAGAGAATAGGGGTTCCATTTGGCACCACTAAGGTGATAAGGAAGATAATTCAATTGACAGTGGCCAGAGAAGTGGCTGAGGTACCATTTGCTCTCACGGGAAATCCCCGTCCTGTCCTGTCCCGTCCCTGTCTCAGGATCGTCACACGCCACGAGGTCACTCTTTATATGTAAATTCACTCACAACACCTACACACAGCACCTTGGCGGGGAGGGTCTTTTGGGGTATAAAGGGGGTGAAGAACTGCCCTTAATTTGTATTTGAGCTGCCTTTCAGTACCTGGTGTATGTCTACACTGTATTACATAATATTATTTTTACTGTTCAATAAACCACCATTTTGCTGAAACTGCGGAGACTCTGCAAGTGGATTCCTTACACACACATTTTTTAATTTGCCCACTAAGACACCTTGCATGGCTAAAGAACATCTCACTGACTTCTAAATTAATTAATTGAGCGAGCTTGTGATAAAATTTTACGAATACATGGAATGGCTGAGGTGCCCCTGAGGAGAGGTTTGGGAACTGACTGTGTAGCTAAGTACAGCTCCAAGACCATCCTTAAGTTTGCTGACGATACCACCGTAATAGGTCTGATCAGCGAGGACGATGAGACGGCCTACAGAGAGGAGGTCAGACTCCTGGCAGAATGGTGTCAGGACAACCACCCCACCCTCAACGTCAACAAAACTAAGGAGATGATTGTGGATTTCCGCAAACAGGCAACAGAGCACAGCCCCATCTACATCGGAGGTGAGGCTGTGGAGCAGGTCAGCAGTTTTAGGTTCCTCGGAGTCACCCTCACTGATGACCTTAAACGGTCAAGTCACACTGCGGCAATAGTCAATAGAGCACAACGACGACTCTACTTCCTCAGGAGACTGAGGAAAGCCCGGATGTCCCCCAGAACCCTGTGCAGATTCTACAGGTGTACTGTGGAATCCATCCTGACAGGATGCATCTCATCCTGGTACAGCAACTGCTCAGTTCAGGACAACAGAGCTCTGCAGCGGCTGGTGCACTCAGCACAGAAGATCACGGGCACACAGCTCCCTGCGATCCGCGACATCCACACCTACACGCTGTCTCAAGAAAGTGAACTGTATCTGGCGGGACCCCAGCCACCCTGCACTGTCACTTTTCACCCTCCTCCCATCTGGGAAGCGACTGAAGTCCATTCGGACGCGCACCTCCAGGTTCAGGAACAGTTTCTACCCAACTGCAATCAGACTCATGAACATTCAGTAACCTGTGTCCCCTCCACTGCTACCCGCACATATATTTCTTTCTCTGTCTCTATCTATTCCTGTGATTTTGGTCTTATTTACTTATTTATAATTCACATTATCATTCACTCACTTGTCATCCTGTTGTCTATCCGTCTTTTTGTCTATGTTTACTGTCACACATGCAAGCAAGCATTTCATTGTACACGGTACTCATACTTGTACACAATACAATAAAAGAATTGAAGCGGTGTTCATCTAGCCATCTAGCATTATCAGCAATTTTTTGGGGAAAAGAAAAAAAATTACTGTTAGTTATTGTGTTACTCTTCATATGCATATATTCTGATAACTTGTGTTTTTTGTTCTGGACATGTATATACACACTACCCAGATAAACAGCTTTAAACGTTTTCTTTGACTGCCCACGACCTTTGCACTGTGCTGTATGTGTTTGTCCATCCATTGAAAATTATGCCCATTTCTTCTAGCTGGGAAAAAGGCCAGATCTGCAAATGCTAGGACAGTAGCAACATATTCTGGGTAACTGGTAAGCAGAAGGTATAATAAGGTAGAGGTTTAACATGTGTAGGGAACAGGCTTTATGTACTGACATGTTAGCATTGGGAAGGATCTGCCCTGAGATGCTGATCAGCATTTTGTCATAACATCCTCTGGGCAGGACCACGTCGTATGGCACCGTCTGAAAGGAGAAACCGTTGGCTTTATTCTACACAGTGTCTGTCATGCCATCCCCATATAAGCACAAAACTCCCTCTAATTTAAAGAAAAATCTAAAAATATTATATCTTCATGTTTCACTTGTCTTTTTAATAACCAAGTTGTCATACTTCATTCCTAATGGGATAGAAACTTTTCTGCACAGCCAGCAAGTAAACAGTCACTAAGAGTAACCTGGTTTAATGGTTAACAACCAATTATAAGATGCAAAATGCAAATGATAAGTTTAAGAGTGAGTCTATACATTAACAATCACTGACCACTAGTTCCAAAAATCTTGACTTTACCAAGTTATATTATAATTCAAATGAAGAACAGCATGAATGAAAACAGATTATGTGGTAAGTGGTATGGAAGTAAATGTTAGAACTTACTAGAGGTCCACTGGAAAATGGCTGAGGAGCAGATGGGATAGTTTGGCCAGGCTGACCGGGCCACGCTGGTTGATTTGGTTGGCCAGGCTGGCCGGGCCATGCTGGTTGATTTGGTTGGCCAGGCTGACTGGGCCATGAAGGTTGGCCAGGCCAAGTTGGTTGATTTGGTTGGCCGGGCTGACCGGGCCAAGCAGGTTGGCCGGGCTGACCGGGCCAAGCTGGTTGGCTGGGCTGACCGGGCCAAGCTGGTTGATTTGGTTGGCCGGGCTGACCGGGCCATGTTGGTTGGCCGGGCTGACCTGGCCACGCTGGTTGGCCGGGCTGACCGGGCCATGCTGGTGCTCCAGCCTGAGCATTCAACGGCTGTCCAGAGGAGGTGTCATCACCCAGAGCATCAGACAGCTTTAAGGAAAAGGACACAGCCCATCAGACACATTTGCAAATACACAGACACACATATGCAAACAGATACAGACAAGTGCTTCCAAAATAAAGAATGAATGATGCGTTCATCTCCTATTTAATCAAACTCAAAAATGCACTCTTTCCTGTTTGAACAGGTATAAATGTAAAGCTACTGAACCACCACAACTTAATGGCCAAGAGAATTATTCCACAGACCTAAAGGTGCAAGTCCAATCAATGTCTTACTAAGGACTCGTCCGCACTAATATATTTTTGTCGAGTAGCGCAAAAATTCTTCCAATTCAGCCTTCCAATTCACAGATCATTTTTTCCCAGAAAATTTCACCCCTCTCCGACAACTAATCTTTCCATAAACGCATTAGTGTGGACCCTCATAAACGTAAGAATAGTTATGCCTACATCAGTGAGCTCTGATTGGTTCGCACTTAGATCATGACCCTTTCCTGATTAGCTCTCTTCATTTCGATGTCTTTTCCTAATTGGTTATTCTTCTCAGGAATGAAGAATGCTTTGCCTCCGTTTTCACAGAAGAAAGCCACATGTGGACATGGAGGATGTACAGGACCTTCACCAAGTGGCATATGTTGTTTTGCTTACTTGTATGTAGATAAATCGTGTTTTGTATACATTGTATGCTGTTTATAGCTACAGTGGTACCTCAGAACTCGAATTTAATCTGTTCAGAACTCCGGATCGAATCCTAATAAATTCGAGCTGTGATCAAATTTTCCCCATAAGAAATAATGGAAAACCAATTAATTGGTTCCCGGCCCCCAAAAAAATTACACCTAAATATGTTTTTTTTGTTGTTTTTTTTAAGCATTTAAACACAAAATGAACTGGATAAAACAAGAAGAGCATATACTGTACTAAACACATCTAAGCACATTTATCAAAACAGTCATTTGTAAAGTAAGAAAATAAATGTATCCAAACAATGTGTCCTGCCCCGATCGTCTGCTTCTCCCGTGTACCACGCCCCCTCATTAACCCCGTGTGGAATTAAATATAGCCCTGTAATTAAACCCCGTATTCCCCGATACCATGACGTCTGCGCCTTTGTCTCCGTTCCGTCCCCGCTCGGCACAACAATATTATTATTATTAAACATATTAATGGTTTATTATTAATATTAAAACAATTAAGAAATCTTTATTTTTAAATGTATTTTATTGTATAATAATTACCGTTACTGTATCTAAGTGTATTTTTACTGTCTAAATATATGTATTCAGCTAGTGTATGGTGCTATCACAGCTAATGCGAGGCTGAGACTGAAGCATTACCCTTTGTTTCCGCTGAGAGACGTGCCACGTGACTCATTTCCCCGCGCGTACAAGTTATCTTAGGTCGGCGTTCACGGTTTGACTTCTGAGATTCAGATCAAGCTCTAGGTATTTTTTTTTCCCAACTGGTTGGTTCGACTTTTAAGAAATTCGAGTTCTAATGAGTTCGAGAACTGAGGTACCACTGTATTGTCGAACTCAAAACGAGACTGGAGCTGAGCCAAGTGTAGGTGCAGCTCTAGCTTATGATAAAGATATCCAACCAGAAAACAAGAAAGACAAGAGCACACGGAAACTGGGGGGAAGATGTGTTGTGACTACATTTTTGGATCCCTGTGTTGTAGCTGTGATGGTTCCTTTTATGTAGTTTTGTGTTTGCGTCACTACAGTACTGTGATATTTCGCTTTTGCTAAATAAAATATGTTAATTTACTTTAAAAATATGGTTGTGTGAGATTAATCAACAGTCAAATGTTTACAAAAACTGAATTTTATTACCAATTAAAGTTTTTTTAAAAAATGATCTGAAATACATTCCTCAGCACTTCTAGAATTATACAAAATTTTGGTTGGACAAAAAAAACTTGCCAATGACATACTGTGCTCAAGCTACAACAAACAAATAAAGTGCGGCACTTCTAAACATATATATGTCACACCCTGCTCCGTTCGATCCTAATGTGTGCCACGCCCACCTCGTTACCTCGTGTTCAGCCCTGATTGTGATCGCCTGTGTCCTATTAAGTCTAGCTTGTCTTTTGTATTTAGTCCTCGTCTGAGTCAGTCTTCCCCAGACTTGTCATTGTAGTGTCCGTCGATGTCCCTACCTGTCTGTCTCTCGAGCATTAAAACCCCGTTTGTACCCGACTTCCTGGCTCCGTTTCCCTGCTTCCCGGATCACCGGAGCCCGATCGTGACAATATACATATATACATTAAGAATCACTCTATGTCATTTGCCTTTTACATGGAGCAGTATGAACACCGATGTTATTTTCAACGTTAGTTATAATTTCTTTTGGGAAAAAATTGTAACGTATTAGTGCACATGTAGCCTCAAATCACAGGGGTTGAGGTCACCAACTAAGTGAATTCATGAATATGTAATAAGTTCCACTACATTTTTGTCTTTTAATGAACAGCATAATCTGCATGTTTAAATTGTCTTCTTGACTAACAAAATTAAAAACAAAACAGTGATACTTACATCCATTTTACCTGTTAAAGAAAAAAGAAAATATCATGTAAGCTTATCATCATCATGTAGTCATTACAGTTTGGTAACATCTACTTTGGATTAAATTATCCATCAGTAATAAACTAAGGAACTCCAAGGAAACATTTACTCAAACCATATAATTAAGGGAGAATGACAGTCAAACACATTAAATATTGACAGTACTTGGAAAAAAATATGCCAAAGTCCAGCAACCAGAGGTAATAGTGCAACATGTGCACAACATGCAGGAGTTACATCACTTGGTCGAACATATGAACACCAGCACCGTCTTAGGCTGCACTGGGCTTGGACGCTATGTAATTGTTAATACTGTCATAATATCCAGATATTATACTACAGTATATAGTATTTTAAAGATACTTGCAATCCAAAGTTTTACTGTAACTTGGTCTGTGAGTGTTTTGCAAGACAAGCAAAAATTTTAAATAAATTTTTACTTGACAAATGAGCGAGGTCTTGCAATAAAAGTATGACGTATAAGATTTGTCTGCCAAGCGTCACGTGGAACGAATCATCTGAGTTTCCATTATTTCTTATGGGAAAATGTGCTTTGATTTAGATTAGATTAGATTAGATTAGATTAGATTACATTACATTACATTACATTACATTACATTACATTAGATTAGATTAATCCCTCGGGAAGGTTCCTCCGGGAAATTTAGTTCCAGCAGCACTACACCGACACATTACAGTTACAAAAAAAAAACCAATTCATCACGAGTGCTTTGGATTACAAGCACGTTTCCAGAACAAATTATGCTTGCAAACCAAGGTACCATTGTATTTTTAAAGTTTTAAAAACATTATTCCAGTATTTGTCAATAAAATTGGGCACAAAAATATATGGTATCACCATAACCCCTCATCCTCCTCCCTGACATCAATATTACACTTGAGGTGGGATGTATGTAAACGTCTCTGGAGGTTCCCAGTTATCACGATTGTCCTCTTACAAATTCATTTAAACTTACCCAAAATTATTTTGATTCATTGTATGTTTTCCCAGAGTGAAAGCCTCAGTGGTGTGGAAGCACTTTACATTAAAAGGGAGTGAAAAGTGCAGTTGTCTGTCAATATTGCAAAGCAGAACTTAAGTATCAACACAGCACAAGTCCAACATAAATATCTTACAAGATGACATTTGGGGTTGACACACTCTCCCAAAAATACTTCGTTAGCCATACGTGTGTGTCATGTGACCCCTCGGGGTAGCCTAGCCTGTCTGTCATGAATTTCACTTAAATTCATTATTAAATTATTTTGTTTAAAATGTACTTTGTACGATTCCTGTATGTCAAAATAATCATTGCTAAAATGAATGTTAACCCTGTCACTTTGCTGCATCATCTTACATAATATGGTACATAAGTATATAATATAATTTTTTTGTGAACATAGAATGTTTTGAGTATGGCTGAAAAACACTGGAAAGTTTTCACATTTTTGTACATCGGAGTTGAAAATTAACTATACCTAAACAGAACTAATCTACTTATATGTGCTCAACCCTCTGCCGTTCACGTTGGTTACTCACGAATATGCAGCACAGCCAAACCACATCCTCGAGTTCACCGATGACACAACCACGGTGGATCTGATCAGGGGGAGCAACGAGGCGGCATACAGAGAGGAGATGCAACGGCTAACACTGTGTTAAACAGACTAATGTGGAACCAACAACCTGCCTCTGAATGTGGACAAGACAAAGGAGACGGTTGTTGAGTTCGGGAGGGCATGCCGTGACCACTCTCCGCTGAACATCGACGGATTCCCAGTGGAGATTGTCCAGAGCACCAATTCCTTGGTATTCACATCACTGAGAACCTCACATGGAACCTCAACACCAGCTCCGTTGCCAATAGAACCCAACAGCGTCTCCATTTCCTGCTGAGACTGAGGAGAGCGCACCCCCTAGTCCTCACTACGTTATACAGAGGGACTATAGAGAGTACCCTGTGTAGCTACATCATGGCTTGGTACAGGAATTTCTCCCCCCTCGGGCCGCAAGACCCTACAGAGGATAGTGAAGACAGCAGAAAAGATCATTGGGGTCTCTCTCCCCTCTGTCACAGACATTTACATGTCACACAGCATCCGCAAAGCCACCCGCACTGTGGACGACCCCACATACCCCCCCCACACCCTCTTCCCCCTCCTTCCGTCTGGCGAAAAGTTTTGCAACATACAGACCTTCACTGCCAGGATGGGAAACAGTTTTTTCCCCTCAGGTCATCAGACTTCTGAATCAGAACTGAATCACGACCTGCATTTCATATGCCACTTAAATATTGCACACACTCTGCCCTGCTGCTACCGTTCATTACTGAGCCTCCAAAAATAGATGCTACGAACTCAGATCATTATCGTGTACTCTTTAAAATGTCAATGTGTACCAGTATAAAGCATGACAAAAGAATAATGAAGACTCGAAAAGCTGTTATGGATGTTGTTCATTCTCTCCCTCCTCTCACACTCTGCTCTCACTAATTGAACCCTAACTCCAGAATGACTCATTGCACAAATATTACTGCTCCAATGAAAAGTAAAGTCATTACTGGTACAGTTTATGATCCTTGGAGAATTTCAGCATCCATTTTAAAACTAAAAAGAAGCAGTAGAAAAATAGACAATGGAGGAAGCTATCCATCCAGTACAATACAGCACCTACAAGCATCACTTAAAAACACAATGCAAGAGTTCAAGCAGGCTGGGAGTACTTATTTCTCTGGTCTCATTACTGCCCACAAAAGTAATCCAAAGTTTTTTTTCCCCCATCATTATCAAATTGGTTAACCACTCTCTAGAAACTTCCTTTGAGTTGTCCTCGCTTGACAAATGTAAAGAATTTGCAGGCTTAAGAGTAAAAGTGCTGACATTAACAACAATAATGAATTTTAGTCTAGTCTGCAGGGATTTTCCTGTCCTGCATACAGAACCTAATACACACACGTCCACCTTCATACCTGTTGCCATCAGTGAACTTAACATTGTGTCTCTTCCAAAGAACACAAGCTGTTCCTTAATCCTCTCTGCTGAATTCCTAAAGGACATTTTTTATTTTATTTCTGATGGCATACTAGATAACACTAACTTCTCTGTAAAAGAGTTTACTCGCATAACTTTGACCCTCTGGGGTCTAGGGGTAGGAAACACACTTTCACTGACTGGGGCATGATCACATATTTCTTCAAATATCAAACTTAATTCACGGCAAATAAATTATTTCTTATATATTTGTTTTGCCATTACACTCATCTTTATTTTAATGTATATTGTAAATATGCCAGATTTTTGTTACATTTGTAATTTGACATCAAAGTATAGACATTGCAAAATGCAGTTTGGAACACTTGCAGAAACATAAAAGTACATACAAAGCAATGCTGGCAGTTTGTTTTGATCCCAGATATCTGATCACCAAAGTCTTGGGTACATGAAGAATACTTAATGGTGTAGTTGCAACATTCATTTGGATAAATAAATAAGAAAAACCTAACTCATGTCACTATTTCTGGCTGCTTTCATTGAATATGTAGCAACTTTCATGTGTATGAATGAGCCATTGTCA